TTCTACCATTGATCTTGAGGTCTTCTGGCGAGTCGTTTGCTTTCCTGGAACTCAATCTGATATCTCTATGGACGGTTCTTCTTGTGACGTGCCTTGGCCATTGCTAATTTTAACTTTTTCATTTGAGCAATTACGTCAAAGACATTGTTTGTGCTTTCGCCACCCATTCATTCGCCTTCCTATCTTTCCTAGTTATTTCTGGCATGTGTTGAATGCAATTTGTGAATATTTTCCAGGTTTAGGGTCCACGTATCAAGTACAAAAGCTTTTTCAGTCTTCCAAAGGGGTGTTCCTTACGATTTTTATTCTTCATTGTAATAAAAGTTAATTAACGTTGTCAGTTCTCCGTTGCACAGATGAGCTGTCCCGAATAGAATTAGTTTCGCGCTTTTTCAAGGTTCAATTCCATTGACTATAACAGGTCGCGGCGTCACGTATTTTTTAAACATGACCTGAATTTTCTTCAGGTTCTTTGATGCAGGAGTTGTTCAGTTCTTGAATTTTTTGTTGTAGTTCTTCAGGTGACCTTGAGAAGATCAAAATGTCGTTCGCAAATTGCAGGTGGCTTAAGCGGTGCCCATTTTTGTTAGGTCGCTGATTTTAGCAAAGGAATGTCTTGAAAACATCTTGCAAATGCAGTGAATGATCTCAGCGAAACTGCATCACCCTGCATATTGAATTTGTTTGTGCTTTTGTGAAGCTTTACACTAGCAGTTGGATTCTTCTACATTATCGAAATCAGGTTTATGTATACCTTTCCTCGATTCTTGGCTTGTCAGGAAATTCAGTACGGAATGCGTGTATACTGAGTCAAATCGAAAGCCTTCTAGAAATCGATGAACCTCAGGCAAAGAGGAAGCTGATATCTGTTGCTTATCTGAATGACATATTGCACAACCTGAAGATCATTCACCGTACTAAGTCCACTTCTTAATCCGTTGACCAGTGCAAGGTCCAGTTTTTCTTGAAGTCTCTTCGTCACACTCTTCATCTTGAAGATCTTGCAAATGATTGGTAACAGACTGATCCGTCTGTAATTCTTGAAAATCTCTGTCCCCTTCTCTGACGCGTTACTCCGCTCATCTGGGATTTTCAGTTCTTTCAAATTGCGAGCAGAACGGAGAAAATGTTTTAGCTAGAGATCTGCATTTCAGATAGTGTAAGCATTGCCTGCCCTGAGGTTCTGAAAAAACGTATGCCGAAAAACAGTATACCGTCGTCAGTTTAAAGTTACTGCTCCAGATATTAAGCGTTCGTTACGGTGACCTTTAAGATTTGCATAGTAGGTAATGCGCCTGTTGACTCTGAAAGGAACAAGACAATTGGTCTATTTAAAACAATCGTGATCTTTCCCTTAAAGAAATCAGATGACGTCATCATCGACATGAGTGTTGAAGCTTACTACAGAAAGCATCAAGTAATTTGCAGCGTTTACGTTTATCCCGTATGACTAATGGGTTTGTGACGTCATCTGCTTTTACTAGACATTTGTAGTTGCTGCACGCGTTCTTTTTGACCATCGCCTCTTTTATGCATAACGGTCTCTCTTTTCTAAGGCCTTCTCAGCTGTCTAACGCCGCCATTAACAACGATGCCATTTTTGTATCGGCTCACAGCACTCCTTCGGCGGCGTACGCCTCATGCAGTGATAGTGCTCCGTCCGCTTCCAGTTGGCTGCAGCATTCGGTGTCCGATTCAAACGGTTGTGCCTATTCGGGACAAGGCAAAATTTTTTGCGACTTTTGTTTCTCTGGACAGCTAGGGATTAACGGTGTTCGTATTTAGATCAGATGTTTCCGGTAGTCGAAGACCAGTCGCTGGGCTCCACTGCCATGGCAACGCAGCTGTCCCCTGTCACTTATCCAAGGGAGTACGACACAGCCAGTTACTTGTCTCCATCGGTAGGCTTGGACACAGCTAACCTTAGGAACGTAGCTCCCACCTTAGTCTTGGACCAGACGGACACCTGGAATCGGCAGTACCCAGAAGTACGTCGTCATCCTACCTCGAAAACAGCAAGTATGCAAGGGTGTGTAAAAGTGACAGACTTTTTTTAGGAGTTGTCCGTCGTTGCAGACCCCAAGTACACGGCAGACTCGTCATTAGTACACTATGCAGCGAACAGTTCGATAAACTCGTCGTCTGACTGGTGGCCGTCTCCCCGTAACAACGACTTCGTGTACAATTGCAACACTGTGACCCTGCTCAGCGGACGATACGCGCCCCAGTGATTGTACCCCGCACCTGTACCATAGTTATGCTGTTGTGATAAACCTCTATTTTTGTCATATCAGTGCCATTTTACTCTCTGATTTTAGTTTCTGTTATCTTTCGTTTTTTGTGGCGCGTGGCGTTCGAACAGGAAGTTTTTTCCGATACCTTTTTTAAGGTAAAATAACACTTGAACAGTGGCGATTGAACACTATGAAACGGAATAATGCAGGTGTCTGAAGGTTGTTCAGAAATGTCGAGTAACATTGCTGTTGCGCTGTTGCTGCATGCAGGTGTCATAACTCAATTTTTTGACATCTTTTGTAAACGAAGCGCATTTTCAAGAGGGGCATATCTGACAGGATCTGCAAGCAAAATATTAACTTGAAATACAAGACTCAAGCGTTCGGTTTACGAAAGTTTAATCTGCATCGATAATGAATTGTAATTTCTCAACAAACATCTAAATGACAACAACCAACAGGGAAAAAAACGTCTTAATTATACTGAAATCAATGCAGTGATCTATCAGATAATCAAGCGAGGTATATTTCTGTCCCCCAGTAAGCCACTGTATTGCGTTATATGTAATTAGATTGATTTTGTGGTGGTATGATTCCTAACACACATGAACAAAATACTCCATCTTGAAAATCAGCAATGTCAATAAAAAACAAACATATTTAATCAGTAGCTGACAATGATAGTAACAACAGAAAATTCAAGAAACGCCCGAAATGTTGACTCTGAAAACAGTTGTTAAATGAGATCACGGTAGTCATCGTTTGTGCTAGCGAACACTTTTTATTATGAAATGGCCCCAAATCTGGCAAAGATCTCGATCGAAACGCCAGAAAGTCAAAATAACGTCGACTGATTTCTGCAGGTACCGTTCAATCTCATTTGTAGCTGGGTTACATCTGTACATCATCATGGAAACAGCGGCCACGATCTCTTGGTAGAACTGTGCTGATCTCTGCCAAGAGAAGAAAATACCCTTTGCGCATGCTT